ACCCCATTTCCCCCGCCCCCCGGCTGGGTCTCCGCCAGCCCCCTTCTCCCGACCCCAAATACCCCCCGTGTCTCTGGGGCCGGGTCTCCCCCCTCAGACCCCCGCCCCCCTTGCCTCGGCCCGGGGGTAACAGACACTCACCGGCCTGCGCCCGCTGCTCTGCCGGCGGCACGGGGGGGAGATGGGAGAAGAGGAACAACGTGCAATGTCTGCGATAGAGCTCGGGGCGGGGCCAAACATGCAAATTCCGTTCAGTCGCGGCCTGGGATTGGATGACAGGCCCTGCGGGGGGAGGCGGGCCGGAGGGGGGATGGGGCAGCTGCAGTTACAGCCACAGCCTCACCTCTACTGTTTTCAATCAGCGCTGAATGTCTCAGTGAGGTGGAGGTTTGTTGCCGGTAAATGTACAAACTGAAACCCCCGTTTAGCTGGAGCCGCCCACGCTGGAAATTGGACTTTTCCGTTAGAGCCCTTACCGCGGAACCAGTCACAGTGTGTGGTTTTGGTGAGGGGCAGGGCAGGTGTATCAGCACGAAACACAACCCTCCCCGTTTGCAACTGGGTGCGGTTAACGGGAGCGAGAGCTGTTTGTGCTGATACACCGGCTCCAGCTGTTTTGCCGCAGGTCGGCGGCGGGTCCTTCGCTCGAGGGACTGAGGGACGAGCCGCCCCGTTCCCTTGGCCCCCTTCGCTGGTGCCTGGAGCCGGGCTGGCGAGCGGCGTCTGTCCCAGGGACATAATATCATCAACCGACCCCCCCCCCCCCGCTGGTCTCTTCACCTTCTAATGATCGGTTATGGGGGGAAAGTGCTCTCAGCTGTAACCCCTTCCCCCAAGTTACTGACTCTGGATCTAAAATCCCTGCGAGTCAGCTGTGCTCTCCAGTGATCAACCATTGCTCCAAAATCCCCTCCGCTGCTGACACGTCTGTCATATGTTCAGATATTGACCTGAAATCCCCCAGATTCCGTCACTGTTTTGTCTAATGATCAAATATTGATCAAAAGGCTCCTCAGATGTTGACACGTCTCAAATTTTCAAACATTTCTCTAAAATCCCTTCAGCTGTCGACACTCATCTATTTTTGAATGTTGATCTCAAATCCATTCTGATTTTGCCTCCTTTCCCCTCTAATTCTCAAATACAGATGAAAATATCCCCTCGGTCTGGGGGTCTCCCCCCATATTAAACTGCAGGCACTTCTGTTTTTGGAGGAAAACAGTTGGCCTGAACTATTCGAACAGTTTGTGGCAGTAAATGTACAGGCTGTGATCCAGCAGCCCTCACTGGACATGCCAAGGTCAGGGCCGGCTGCAGAAAGAAGAGCAGATCCTCCCCAAACTGGTGGGTAACACTGAAGTTAGACTCACCAACCAGTCACAGACTGTGCCCCTGGCGAGTGGGCCCTCTCACAGGGACATAATATTATCAACTGAAAAGCCTCCCAACATATTGGTATTTCTAGCCTCTAATTATCCATTATGGGTGGAAAGTGCTCTCAGATTTAACCCCTTCCCCCAAGTTATTGACTATGGATCTAAAATCCCTGTGATTCAGCTGTGCTCTCTAATGAGCAAATATTGCTCTAAAATCCCCTCAGCTGTTGACACTTCCGTCATATTTTCAGATATTGACCTGAAATCCCTCAGATTCCGTCAAAAAGCTGCTCAGATGTTGACACATCTCCCCCCATATTACACTGCAGGTTCTTCTGGTTTTGGAGGAAACCGCGAAAAGCACATGGTCTGCGATAGAGCTCCGGGGCGGGGCCACAACATGCAAATGTCGCTCAGTGGCGGCCTGGGATTGGGTGACAGGCCCTGCGGGGGGGGGGGGGCAGCTACACCCACACCCTTACTTCTGCGGTTGTTGCTCCGCTCTGGGTGACTCTGAAATCGCGGATTTTGCAGTGAGCTAAAGTGTAGCTCGAGCCGCCCACACTGGCAATAACTGTTAGGTTAGAAGAGTTTAACACTGAACCGGAACCAGCCACAGAGTGTGACCCTGGGGAGTGGCAGGGCCGGCTCCGGCTCTTTTGTTTAATGATCAAATATTGATCAAAAGGCTCCTCAGATGTTGACACGTCTCAAATTATCAAACATTTCTCTAAAATCCCTTCAGCTGTCGACACTCATCTATTTTTGAATGTTGATCTCAAATCCATTCTGATTTTGCCTCCTTTCCCCTCTAATTCTCAAATACAGATGAAAATATCCCCTCGGTCTGGGGGTCTCCCCCCATATTAAACTGCAGGCACTTCTGGTTTTGGAGGGAAACAGTTGGCCTGAACTATTGCCCCACATCATGGACAGACGATGTGGTGGGGGTTAAACCCCCTATGAATAACTGTCACTTCAGATTAAATGCCTTTTCTCTCCAATGGTCAATTATTGATAAAATATCCATTCAGATTTGGTTTCTTTTCCCTCTGATTTTCAAATACGGGTTGCAAACTCCTTCATATTTTAAGAACATAAGAACGGCCATACTGGGTCAGACCAATGGTCCATCTAGCCCACTATCCTGTCTTCCGACAGAGGCCAGTCCAGATGCTTCACAGGGAATGAATAGAGCAGGGCAATTATCAAGTGATCCATCTTCTGTCGGCCAACCCCCAGCTTCATGGGGTTGCATCACTGACCATCTTGGCTAATAGCCATGGATGAACCTATCCTCCAGGAACCTAGTTCTTTTTT